GGCGTGTATAAAACTTGACACCTCAGGCCAGCTCTCTGGAATCCTCCTGTGCAAAGAAACATCTATGGCCTGTCCAAGAAGTGACCGCCAAAAAAGCTGCCTGGGGTGGGAATTCACTTACGAGCGACAGCGTGATATCAGTCTCCCGCAGCTTTGCTTCAGCTGGTTTCTCCGTGCAAATGCCAGCACAGCAAGTAGAAGCAGCGGGAGGACCAGGAAGAAGAACACCAGAAGCCCGTCTCTCAGCGAGGTGTCTTTGTCTGGGGAAATGGAAGGAGAGAAAGAAAAGTAGACAGTGTCACAGGTGCAGATGGCTACAATGTTACAACTTCCGGTACGCCGCTGGTTATCATCACGGGACCCAACCCAAACCCTTCCTCAGTTGGCAAAACGGAGCCCGCCACAGTTCCAGTTTCCCAGCACTTCAGCTGGCCAGCATGCAACTGCTTGGAGGCCACCAGGCACTTGCTTTGCCCTCTTCCCAAACAGCAATCAGCAGCAGCTGAGGCCACTGGCCTGGAGCTGCCTTGTCACTACTTGCCATTATAGGAAGGCCCACTGTCCACGCTTCCCCCATATCCTGTCGAGTCACAATATGGAGGGGCCCAGCCTGCATCACAGTGACAGTTCCTGTTGTTATTGCACACCTTCAAAAATAAAAATAAACAAATAAGTGTATAATCACACACACGCGCAATTACTACGATCGGTGCCATCAAGGGCTCACCTACCCACCCTACCTCACTCAAACTAGAGAGCTCTACCCCGCAATTCCTGTAGCAGGCCTACTCATAACCGTCCTGCCCGAGTCATGCTAGCCGGGCAAAGCACAGTCACGCTAACAGGTTTTAAAACCTGTTTGGCCAACGATTAAATTGCCCAGCGCACATCTGACCTAAACACGCCTTTCAGGTTAACTAAACCAAACAGCTTCTTTTCACGCTCAGACTCACTCCTGGGGCTTCCAGGCCAAATGCCTCACAATGCTGCCACGCTCACTGGCACAGCTACAGTCCAGCAACTTTCTGCAAGTTACTTTTTACCTAGAGAGCAGCACAAGGCTAACAGCCAGCTCACCGTTAAAATATCACTGTCTGACCTAAGGACAAAAGTAACCGGGTACACCTCTATGGCCTGCGATTTGCAAGAGGTTGTTCTAGCTGCTCCAATGGCCTTTAACTCTAGGACTCTGACCCTTCTTACAGAGGAGCGAGGAGGGAGCACTGAGCCCAGGCTGGACCTCAGCATAAAAGGAAGTCCCTGCCTTACTTACCCCATGTCCATGGCATTTGCTGTCTACGTCACAGTCGTAATTCAGAACAGAGACGCTTACACACTGGTAGTGTCTGCAGATCTGGAGAGGCAAGACAAGAGCATGCAAATGAAATCAAGGTGGCTTTGGACTGCTTATGGTCTCCCTCCCTCCCTTCCCCTGTGGTCCAGTACACGCCTGGTTTACCTTGCTCAGCATGTACGTTTACTGCCACGCTACCTTCAAAAATGACGCACACAACTTCTGACCCTAAGCGCTTTCATTTGAATAGCAAACTAGTTTGCTGCAATAACAGCCTCCAGCCGCTGCTCGCAACGGAGGCGATTTTTTAGCCACCAGCTGACCAGAGGGTAACAGCTATCAATTGTCCTGAGCCGTGTCTGGCTAGCAGGATCCCAGGGGAGAGGTAAGTACAGCCCTTCGCTGAGCTGTGGCAGAATGTAACAGGACAGGCCGCAGCAGGGCTCTACGCAAGCTCTCCCCTTCTGGAGAGATGCGAGGTGGGGGAGATGGGACGGGACGGGACGCTTAAGGAATAAATTCACGTTATTCATTTCCAGGGACGGCACCAGTCATTTCAGTGAGGGGAAGAAGGAGGGGAAACCAACATGTTTCTGCCTTTTGCATTAAACGATCGTGCACAGCTTTATACCACGTGCGGTATCCGTGCACGTGTGCCGAGATTCCAGTCTAACGTCAAAAACGCCACTTTGCAAAAACGTCTCCCGATTACCTTTCCGGCGTCACATTTGGTCCCTTCGTTCACCATTCCGGGATCAGGAACATCGGATCCGAGCTGGAAGTCCACGCCCCAACACGTGGTGCGTCCAATGGGGGTCTGAATAGTGGCGGGTTTTATCCCAAACACAGGCAGGGCTCCCACGTTTTCGCACTGTAGCTTCCCACACATGGCATTCCTAGGAGGCAGCCATTGAATGGATGGTTATGGCTCTATTACTCTGAGAGGGCAAGCAATTAGCATGCTCTGGGCATTTTGCCCAAGCTTGCTAGCGGGAATTACAGAGGAGAAGATACATTCACCAGCAGTATCACCACTTAAGGGAAATGCAGAACAAGACGGAGCTGACTATTAGCAAGCTGTTCCAATCCTCAGGCAACAGCAAACATGCCCCTTTACTATTCCTGTCTCCGTGAAGGCATGTGTGCACTTGCTCTGTAGGATAAAAGCAACCACTGACAAAGCTACAGAGCAACATCCTCTCCTCATAACCCAACAGAGGCTACAGGCAGTTACCAGATAAACTGGCGCGCTGAAAAGCTACAGCAGCTCAAGGGCAGCGGAAGGAAGATTCCTTCTTTTTTGAAGCGCCTCTTTTTTGCACTTGGCAACAACCGATCCATTCCATTTTACAGGCCCAATTGCTTGGACCCTGATGCTTAGTGAAAGGCCAATATTTGTAACGCTAGAAGGAAGCAAAAGGGATGTCTCCCTACAAACGTCTGAACGCGCGCCCTCTGCCTCCAATGCCGCTGCCTCAGAGGGTACAGGAAGAAGACAACTATTTGCAAGCTAATTTGCTTCCGCTCCACAATGACACTTCCAGTACAAAGGTAGACTGTGGGGCAGGACGCGTCTGACGCACCGATTACAAAGCCCTGTTACGCAGATAGGTCTGAAGAGCCGACTAATTGCACGGCACCTGACTGCAGGGCTTTAGACCGTTGCTGCAGAGCAGCCCCTGCTATGTTAAACCCAACTCACCAGGTGGAACACTTTCTGTAGTCATTGCCGTGGTAGCCGCAGTTGCCAAACCTGTCACCTTTGGAGTTTACTTCAGCAAAACAAATGTCAGGGGCAGCCTTTGCTCCTGGAAAACCAGACCACCAGCACACAGGCATTAGGGGAGTGAGGTCCAGTAACAGAGAGAGAGAAAGAAAGAAAAGAAAAAAGAGAGAGATATCTCACTCTCCCCACCCTTCTTGCCAGCCCCTGGATCACGTTGAGTCACACCACCATTTTCCTGCCATGCGAATGCTTCGAGGGATCAAAAGAGATAAAGACCTGGTCATGAAAAAATCTCTCATCCCAGACACATTTCAGGCCAATAGAGGACATGGAGAACCGAGTTACTTGGCAGCAGTTAATTATACTGCTAAGTAAATCTTCACAACTACCTACATAGCCCTGAAAAGGCACATTTATCACGGCAAGGAAATTATTAGTACTCGAGACATTAATGTGTCCATAAACGTAATGAAAATTTATACAGGCAAAGAAAACTCTCATAAATACCACAGACAGTTTCCAATCCGTGGCCAATTTTCAGGCATGTCTTTTTTCTTTTTTTTTTTCATTTCCCTAATTAAAAACACACCTAAAACCTGTAACCATTGAATAAACTTGCTCATTCCCCTCTATTCGTTTGCCTTGGAAGGGTTACTCTCATCACCATCCTTACTTGGGCCAAAGATAGCCTGGCACTGGGCATTGTAGTACTGGCACACCCCGTTGTAACAATAGGCTTCCTCGTTGTGACACGGGTATCCATTCTGCACCGTAAAGTCCTGCTGGCAGAACTGGGAGGTCCCATTGCAGTACTCGGGGAGGTCACATTCGTTGTTACTTGCCCGGCACACGGTGCCTCCTGGAAGGAACTACAAAGGAGCATGTAGGAGAAGGGGAAGGGAACGGCAAGTCAGTCATGAGATGCACGCTGTACAGCACCATGCCCTCTATGCACCGAGCCCCACCGATTGACTTCGCACCCTGCTACAGTCGCCGGCTGGTGCCAAACATGCACCTGCCCAGCATGTGGCAGCTTCCTCCTGGAAACCCTGGCCAGGGCCAGCACTTCCCTCATCATGGACTCACCAAAGGGTATTTCAAGTGAAAGCTGAAACCGTCTCCTCCCGCCTCTTACCCGACAGTTTTTACAGCAGTCGCCATAGGCACATTCAGCGCCCGCTCGGAGTCTACAAGTCCCTGCTTCACAGCAAGGGTCCCTCTCACATTCCTGCAAAGACAAGAGTAATCCACTGAATCGTATGGACTTACCCTGCCACGTGGGCCCGTTCCCCCTCCAAGGCAGAGAGGCACCCAGGAGCCGTCACACAGCACAGAGATGACCAACCTTTGGGGAACCGCAGTCGCACTCCTCCCCAGTATCCACCAGCTTGTTGCCACAAAACGGGACGCTGTAGGTTTCATCCGGCCTGGGAACGTTGAGCAGGCAGCTGCCACCTTTGTTGAGAGTTAGCTTCTCAAAGTCTTCAGCGCTGCAGCTGCTGAAGTTTCTGGATCCTCTGCAACAGAGAGTATTTGGCAGTCCATTCGCCGTGCCTGCCACGAGTTCTTCATAGCCCACACTCTCGCTTAAGGCAGCATTTGTATAGCAAGAGCGAGAGCCAAGTGCCAGAGAAAGACGAGCATTAAGCTTCTAAAAGGGACCCGGGTTCCGTCTCTGACCTCTGAAAGGCAAAGGCCCTTCCTCTAATTAAACTGGGCCAACACACTGACGAGGTATTGTTGTAGCACCGTTACTGCGACTGTCTAAAATGCTGCAAGCCGCCCCAGTCCAGAAATCCAGGCACCAGCGAACAGATGTTACCTACACCAGTGGTTTTCAACATGTTTTAATTTGCGGACCCCTAAACATTTGTGAACGGAGAGGCAGAGCCCAGCAGACATTTCAAACAGAAGCGAATTGCAAGTGTGGGTATTCTCCTACTTTTGACTGACCACAGTCATCTTTCATGGGCCCCTTAAGCATAGCGCTGCGGAGCCCAGGGGATCTGCGACCACAGGTCAAAAAGCACCGATCGACAAACGACCGTGTGCCCGGCTCCTCCAAACTACGTTTAATGTTCAGTTCCCCAAACTGTAAGACACGGGGGACATTTGCTTTCCTCACTGACTGCTACCTACAGTTACAATATGGTTAGAAGATGTCACGATGAACAGCACCATATAGATGCTGAGGACAAAGACGGAAGCTGGACCCTTATGGAAGTCTTCTCCACCTCGGCATCAAGGAAAATCACTTACGATGCTCCAGAATTCATAATACAGCTGTCAGCGCCGCAGTAACACTCTCTTTCATCATCGTGGTTCATTCCCAGGTTATGGCCAAGCTCGTGTGCCACAATGGACGCAAACATCTGTACGCTCATTTGTCCAAACTGCACATAACCACAACAGAGGAAGAATTAGCGGAAGGTCTGTCCAGGACATCAACAGCATTCACACGCCCTGAGGAACTGTATAACCTTAAGCATCGCATTAATGTGAGCTTCCTAGCAAAGGGGCCAAAACACTTTCTGCTTGCCAGCTGATGAAGGGTACTTTGCTTAACTTCCAGGGGCATCCATCGGCTCCTCCGTATGGCCTCACTTCTGGATGGAGGCCTACAAAGGGCACATTAGGCTTTAAAACCAAGAGCGATATCAACGAGTCCCTACCACATTAATCCCTCCTGCGTGGTTCTTGGAGCACACTGTTCCCACGTAGGCCATTCCCGCTGTTCCGCCAAACCCCTTCTTCCTGGTGTACATTGAAAAAAATCAGCTTAGCTGGGCAGAGGCAACACAAACAAAACGAGCAGCTCTGCAACCCACACCGCTTCGGGGTTCCCAGGCTTAGCACAGAGGAAACGCAACGTTAGGCACCTGCGGGTAATGCTACGCATCCGTTTATAGAGTGTTTTTCCCTTCGGGTTTGTACCGTGGCTCATTGAGCAATCCCTTCCCCTCGAGCCTTTCTTCCCTTTTCCCCTCCACGTCTCTTACTTTGCCTTCTCCAATGTTCCCTGGCTAAGCTCAGGAGCAACAGGACAATACATTAGGGTTCCTTGCCTTGCACAAACAGCTAGCAGTACCATGACGATTCACCATCAATGATTTCTTAAGCTTGGGTGCCGACTGGAGGGAGACAGGGATTGTGCACCTTTCTGGGGCAGAGCATTTACACAAGGAGCTGCTTGTCAAGATGCAGAGGCCTGTGGCACCATCTGTCCACAAATGGCCACAGAGGACTTTAGCTGTCAGACAGCACTCCCCACACAGCTTCACAAATATTGACTCCTATTTAATAACGCACACTACTGGCGAGATAGGGACAGGCCAACTCCCTCCTCAAGCGGAGGCTCATGTAAATAGCATCACCACAGTGGGCCTGCAACAGCGAGTTTTCAAGGGAAAAACACCTGGATGCTTGAGTCTCTCCAACAAGTTACATGGCAAAGGAACACCTGTGAAATCACTCACAGCTGCTGGCTTTCTAGAAGCAAAATATTCAGTGGCATAACACACCAGACAAGACAGAAATGGTTCCAAGTAGGTAACATCTCCATCTGCCAGGAGCTCCATGTTTGCCTTCTGGTGGGCAGCAGACCACGGTTCTTAGGATGCAGCTTCAACTAGCTTCAACTCTGGCACTGCCACAATGGGCAGAATGCCCTACAGGCTGCTTCGGGGTGCTCACAGCAGACCCGCGCCCAGGCCCCCCCCCACCAGAATTGAGCCTGCGTGTTTACAAGGTTCCTGCTGGTTACTGACACTGCACTGACTGGCAGCTTCTCGTCCCAAAACGACTGCTGATGGGGGGAAAAGAACAACCACCACCAAAACGGGAATCCTGGCTCTTACAGAACAAACTGCGCACTGTCGTGCCTCCGGCGAGTCACAAGATTCTTCTCTCGCCACTGCACAAAGTTGGCCAGCACGTCGCCAGCACTTCCATCGGTGCTTATCAGGTTTTGGTACTTCCAGATCTCCAAGCCGACCAGCACGACACGGATATTCAGCATGATGTACATCTGGAAAGGCAAGAGAAGGACAAGGCAGGGTAAAGCAGGGGTGAGATGCTATGAGCAAGCCAGCAGAAAAAAATCTAAAAAACTTGCTGCCTTTCCTCTGTGGTTCCAAAGTAAAACATTACCAAAACTTGTATTCTCCCTGTGGGAGGTGTTACTGGGCTCAAAGGACCAGTGCCTAACTGCACCGAGATAGCTACAGAAACAGGTATATACCTGTACAGAAAACACCAGGAGAAAGGACCCAGACCACTACCCAGTTGCGTCTTTGGTGCCCAGAGCCAGCGTCAGAGCAAAACAAAACTGATTCACAGGCTTAAATGCCCGTGCAGACTACTGCAGTCCTGCAGTCAGACTCCTCACGTCAGAAAGGCCACTGGGGCTTCATATTTGCTTCCGGATCGTTGTGGCTGCACTCGAGCACATTTTGAAGCAGAAAAAAAAAGGGGGAGTGGGGGTTCGGCAACGGCAAACTCCACCACAGTCTTTGGTACATAAAATACCATCCTCTCCAACCCTCATTTTCTAGCCTTTACAATTCACATCCCACCTGCCAAGACACAGGATTTCCACTCTTCATGCTAATGCTGCCTGGGTCCTGACAGAATAACAGGCGTTCCCACATTCTGACCAAGGTGGCACATTTCTGAAACTCGGCACAGAGGCTGCAGGTCTAGAGCACCCAGTGGTCTTTGCTGCTTACCCAACCCACGGCTTCAACTTACACTATCCAGGCAGTTGGCCAGATGTACCATCTCCTCTCTCACAGCAGCTTCGCTCCTACCCTGGACCTCATACTGAAAGAGAAGAGGTTCCACCACAGGGGTGAGATGCAAGCAACATCAGACCAAATTCAGACAGGGGGGACCAGTCTTGTAAGAGTCCCATCATCACAGGCAGTTTCCAAAGCCACAAGCCTCAGGTTTGGAAGATGCAACTTGGGAGCGGAGGCCACCAGGGAAAGCAGACGTGGCCCAAATCTCCAGACATTCAGGAAAGATGGAACAGGAAAGGGAGCACTCTTCGCACTTTCCACGACCCCTCAGAATCCTTGCATGACAAATCCTGACCCCCCCGGTGTTTTACTTGAGGTCCGGTTTTCTCACAGTCGTAACACGGACTGCGTGTTTTCGGTTCTTCCATTTAGGTAGTTGAGGTTAAATAGACAGGGTCTTTCCTGTGGCCCTAGTGATCACAAGTGGATTGCTGACTGCTTTAACAAGGAAAGGTACACATTCTCCTGCCTTATGATTTTGTATTTACAGCTCTGAGTGCGTTTTCTCAGCGCTACATTTTAGTCCACCATCAGCAAGGGTATGAAAGTAAATGTATACCTTACCCTTTCTTTGTCCACAACGATGAACAGCTCCACGTATCTTGTCTGGTGAAGAACAGCTCTTTTACTCTGTTAAAAAAGCCCATGCCAACCATCAAACAAAAACTTCATTTTGATCAACTGAAACTGGATGAAGTGTAGTTTTAGCCAAGTTAGGTCATCATAATCCATTCTCGTATTTCATACTCAGTGATACCTTAGCGAAGTGGTCATTTGAAGAGATACACCCACAACGCATGCAGCCAAACATAACCCCAAAACACACCACACCTGCATACAACAAAGAACTGGGGGTCCCCCTCAAAGTGCTTTAGACTGAAAGAACTGGCCAGATAAGGGCACCTTGCTTCTGAAGGGAAGTAAGGGATCTTTATGCTTCCCATTCACCATACACAGAAGTAGTTAGGCGTGCTGGTCTGAAGCTAGAGAGGAGGTATGGCAGGGTGGCACCTGAGAAGCTAGCCAGGTCAAAAAGGCACAAGCTGTTGCAGGCGACAACCTCATCTGTCAGTCAGCAATGATCTTAGCACAGACAAAGTCCACTACCGTGCAACTCGGAATCCAGGCGAGCTGCACTAACCTACCCTTGTGGCCTCTTGAAAGCTCAGCTCCAGCGTAGTCTATGCTCACCTGGTAAGGGAAACACCATGACCACAGAGGCGGTCTTCTAGCTGCACCGGGGATGACCACTCTCCCAGCACGGGGACAGTACCTGCCAAGGTCACGTATAGTAAACCTTCCACTTAGCTGCTGGAGCGGGAAGGCCTTGCCTTTAAGCCCACTTTATGGAAATGGGAGACTCCTCCCTGGCTTGCCCCTGGGGCCTTACAGCTGAGGGCAAGCAAAACGTGAGGGCATCCGAACCCCAAGATTGCCCGCCAAAGGTTTTGGAAACAGCTGAAGCCCCAGATGGGGGTGGAGGATGTTTGCCAGTAGTAGGGCCACTTATGGTTCTGGACTCGCAGATTTGGAATTAGTTTTGGCTAATTTCACTTGGAATACGGAAAACTAAAAATCTCTGACCGAGGTAGTCTCTGAGGTGCCACCCTGCCCTGCCTTCTGCCATCTACCTCTGGAAATTCCCGTTACCCGAAAGAAACGCTCTCCAAATCGCCTGTGGTACTCTGACGCTATGAGACGGGAGTATCGGCACAGGCGTCAGCAAGGTGTGGGCGAGCTGCCTTCTGGCAGGAACACACCTACAACACACCTACATATCGAGTTTTAAGCAGGAAGGACAGTGCCCCAGTGCGAAGCCTGGAGCAGCGGTGTTATGCCCCAAGTGATCGGAGCCAACCTTTTTGGCAGGCGTGCCACAAGCAAAGCCCTGCACCTTCCCTGAATGCCACTCTGAAGCCCTTCCTCTGCCTGACCGGCTGCTCCGCTTTCTGCTCCCTCCCTGATCCGCCACGTGCCACCCACGACATGCATGCCGCCCTAAGCAACCTAACAGAGCGCTTCCACATGGTTAGCTGCCGTGCACGGGAGGGACGCTGAGTACGCACTCGCAGCAGCTGAGTCATGCCGGGAGGCTGCTCGTACTCTGTGGGCTCTCTTCCCGGATCGGTGCTGCTCACTCCGCACACCATGGGCTCTTTCTGCACATTCTCCAAGCGGTACACTATGTGTTTGAGGTCCGAGTCGTCGTCCTTGGGCTCAATTCCATAGGTGACATTTCCCACGTGCAGCAGTCCCCTAACAACAGAAAGAACACGTCACCCACACCACCACCCAAAGCACAGCCGCAAACGACTCGCCCGGACTTCTGGAGAGCAAGGGGAGGCAACAGGAAACCACCGATAGCCACAGGATGCAAAGAAACAATTCTTCCAACACGCACACGCTCTGCTTAGCTTATATGTGCAAGTATCCCCACGACTTCAATGGGACTTTCAGGAGGCACACCGATAGCGTCTGCGCTACCTGGGGTCCTCATGTCAGACTTCCAAAAACAGCAGCCTTTCAGTTCAGGTATTACTGCCACTTACCACGGGGCCATGACAAAGCAATAAAGAACAGCAAAGGTCAAGAGCAAAACTGTTCCAAAAGGCAGCGAAACCATGCAAGGCCAAAGAGCTTTCCAATCAGTGCTGAAGCTTAGGGGGCTTTTACGAGCCACTATTGGTGAAGTGGTTGTTCATTCTTTCACTCCAAATGGTAACTTTTTCTTTCTTTAAAGCAGACTATTACATTCAATCCAAAACAGTTCATTAAAGTGAACATCCACCTTGGACTGTAGAAACATTAGGAGTGGATTCAATGATTTCTAGTGGGTTCGCTGGAGGTGTAACAATAGAGCAGATTGTTGCAAGGGCTAAGGGAAAAAAGGAGGAATGTTGAACTGCACCTTGAGAATGAATGCAAGTGAGACTGACCAGGGACTAGTGCCAAAGACACCATGCCAAATGGACACTCTCCTGCAGGATGGCACCAAACAGCCTGGGTCAACAGCTCAGGAAAGCTCAGGGGCAGGACTGGGTTTCAGCTATTTTAACTCTGACCAGGCACAACTGTGACACAGGAAAAAAAAACTTCTGTTACCTGAGTCCAGTGCAAGTGCTGACAGCAATCGCAGAATCTGGTATCCCCTCCACGTATCCCTGATAGTGACAGTGATCCTGAGGAATGCAAGACCAAATTATTCCTGCGGTCTCACAAACACACACAGTCCTCTGCTTCAGTGCAGTGCCTCAGGTCTGAAGACGGCTTGTGCATTTACCCAGAGCGCGTGCTTCTCGGCACAACTCGTTCAGCAAGCTGCACTATGGCATTAGCAGCCTTCACCCTCGCAGCTCCCTTCAGTTTCACAGCTTCCCAGAGCCTTTTGACAGCTGCTCCCCCTTCACTGTCCCAGCCCGCTACACAACTTACAGAACAGACAGGCATAGCCCACGTTACCTGGAGTGCCGTTAAGTTATGGGGCAGACAGTGAGGCTGAAAGATCCTACGTGCTAATGCAGCATATGCATTTAAATGCTAGGCAGAGACCTGCTCTTTGTTGCAGCAGAAGCAGTAGGCAACAACCTGGGACTGGTATTGTAGCATGGCTCAGCAAATTGTACGCTTGCCCACCACGCACTCAAGCGGAGCACACTGGAACATATACAGATCCAGCGCAATCGGTGTACATGGTTGCCACTAGCGCCACATTCATCTCGCCGTACTTATGGCATCCCCCTCCCGCGCCCGAGGCAGCACATATATTAAAGTGCCAGATACATGCCCACTACCCCCCAGCTCCCCAGTCAACATGTGAAGTTCTCAGTCCAGCTACCAGTTGCTCCAGGACTCGCCCTTCCGGCGACGGGCCCTCACCTCCCAGCACTGACTGCAGGTCCCCTTTGCGGCCCAACAAGGCCGGCCATTCCGCAATACAGAGGGTAACTGCAATCCCACCCGCCCGGTCCTGGCTATGGCTGTACTGTAGAGCAATAATAAACCCCAGCTTTAGAGCAGAAGGCGGCTGTACTAACATCTGCTAGGCTATGAAGCCAGCAGGGCTCAGAAACACCATCTGCAAACATTGTCTTGCCTTGCAGCAGAGCTGGCCAACTCCCGAGTCATTTGTCTCCCACCCCACCCAGTTAAATTTTGTTCGCTTGGCCCTTTGCTGCTGCTGCGTGCCAGCGTATCGCTCAGCCTGTCAGGAATGAGCACTGGATCCCACACTGCTTGGCTTGCATGTCACCTCTCTCCAGCCAGTGTTATTATTGCCAGCGGACGCTCGGCGCTGCCTAAGCTCTTCAGTCCCGCAGCCCATCCCCAATCAGCCCTGACAACATGCTTCCCTCCCCAGGCAATCGCACACACCCACGGCACAATAATACCAAATCGCAACCATTATCTGCTTCAGCCAAGCTGTCCCCGAGACCCCAGAAAGGCCAGAGCTGTTGTAGTGCAGCAGTTGGCTGCGCGGCTAAACAGTCCAGCCCTGTGCCGCTAAACACGCAGCTTGGTGGCATCCTGTGTACACGCCGTATTTACCTCCCCAAAGTAGCGACAGGAAGATGCACAACCAATTCCGTGCTCTGCCTGTTCCCCCTTCTAGTCACTCGCCCAGGACGGGGCAATCCAAACAAAGGCTTGTTGTCCACGGCCCACAGGCTTTTCCCGGCATTGCAGCTGTTATGACCCAGTTCCCTGAAAAGGGTGCGTCTGGAGAGCGCTGTGGTGGTCAGGTGGATGAAGTAATTTGCTCTTTTGGCCCCATACCTTGCCAAGCACTTGAGGCATGCAGTAATCCCTCTGAGCCGCTGTACTTACCACGGTCTCCTGCTGAGCTGAAACCCTGATCTGCAGATAGCTTTCTCCCTTATTCAGCCACTGGCTGAGTCACAAAAAGTTAATTAAAATGAGCAAAGACTCAGGTACCTGCGCTGCTCCAGTAAAAAGCCCACGTGCACACAAGCTGACTTCTGGGAAAAGACAAAGCTGGTGTGCACGCAGGGAGCATAGGGGGTGGGAGACGAAGAAATGCTCTTCTACTTCTTGTGACGTGAATCACCGTTTGCTCTTGCTCTGTGACACCTGCCCCATCTCCAGAAGCTAAGTCCGTGTCCACCAGGGGACAGAGGAGGGTGGGAGCAGCAGCTTGCCCAGACGAGAGAGGGGAGGGGTGTGCTGGTCTCCAGTTACCAGCTCTGACTGGGGTCTGTGGGGCACTACTGCTACAGGGGGCACAGGCAGAGGAAGGACATTACTTACAAGGGGACCAACCCGCAAAAGAGGGGTCTCTCACTCTCTCTCTTTTTTAATCTGTGCTCCTACCGGGAAACGCTTCCTCTCTATTCCACATCTATTCTGATACTCCTTCACGAGTCACCTTAGGTTGTTGTATTTAAAAGTCCATGTCAAGAAGGAGACTGTCTAACAGACTGTTCCCCAAGAGCGCTCTGGTCCCCAGCAGACATGAGCCAGTGCCCTTTAAGAAGCCTGTGTTCACTGAACAGCACAACTGTTACGGTCACACACAGTCCAACAACAGACACGTCGCTACCCTGTGAGCCTTTCCTGAGGAGTAGCACAGAGGAGGGAGCACTGGGGATTAGTACCTGGCCTTATGGAAGATACACCAGTGGATGTCTTTATACGTGACTCTTTAGCAACGCAAGTGTAAAAGGGCACTAGCCACCTGCCGCAGGCACAGGACAAAAGGAAGACACTTACCCGGACGTCTGGGTTTTCCGAGTACAACTTCCCCTCCTCATTGTAGCTGTAAACTGTGAAGTCTTTGGGTAATAATAGTCTGAAAGAGGAGGGGAAGAAAATAAAGAGCCACAAAACATGTTATGCTGCTGCAGGGCGATAACAAAATTAATCTCGCACACAAGCTGCAATTATATAAGCAATCCAGAAACGCCCACCATCAAGGAATTTACTGTTTCTAAGGATAACTGCTCAGTCTGACTGTGTTCTGAAACAGCACCCCCGTCCTAAGACACGAGTGCAATTAAACTGCCTCCACCGGGGGGCGGGGAAAGTGTCAGGTAAGATGAGGACAGGAGAACGCAACACATGCAAAATGGAGCTCAGACCTCACAGGCTGGAAGGCAAGGAGCCGGGAACTGTAGCAGCCAGGCTGTCTGACTGCAGCTGGCTTCTCCCCTTCCCCCCTCCTCCATTTGGGAGGAAAGGAAAGCATGTTGGAAATGGTTCCCAAGTAAAAATGCTGACCTAATACGGGCCGGCTCAGCGCTAGTCCCGAGAAGCACAATTCCCACATTTGAGAGGTGAAGAGGAGCCTGAGAGCCCTCCAGCCGCCCTTTCATTTATTTGTTTGTTATGAGCAGTCTTTTAAGAGGAACTTCAGCTTAAGATGGGAACTGCAGCCCACGCATGTGGGCTGCTTGCAACCGGCGGCCGTCACGCGGAACCCCTAAAAACACAGCGACAAAGCTTAAAGAAGGAGGGTTTCTTTTTTCTAAGCATGTTATAAACTCCGTAGCCCTGAATTCCACCCACTTTCCTCGTTCCAGCAGTAACACGGGAGGGCGGTTACAACTGGAGTAATAACACAGGGGACAAAATTAAGGAAGGACGTCACAGGGACAACAGAGGCACACCCAAGCGTTTGCGCTGTGTAACGTAGGCTCCATGGACCGGACGCGAGAGCTGGGCCATCTTCCACCGGTACCCTTCACGGTCCCCGAGTGCAGCTGTACTTCTGACAAGTCACTTCCAGGACTGGACACGGCTTGTTATGGGCCTATCTTTTAGTCCAGCGTGACCGATCGGTGGATAATCCGAGCAGACAGGTATTGGACAACACGAGTCACTTACGTGTTCTTTTCTAAGTGAATCGTGTGCTCTTTCCCCTCGATCTCAATGACATATGACACTTTGTCCTGAGCCTACGAAAAAGAGATCAGTAACCAAATGCTCTCCCAGGCATCACCCAAACCCCTGGAGCAAGCAGCAGCGACATGCCCAGCAACCGTAGGTGCGGTGGCAACACCTCGGATCTTGCCCTCCCTGCGAGTTTGGCAGGCCTAGCCGCAGCAGCAGCAATCCCTGGGGCTCGCGCAGCTTATCCCAGCCAGCAGCACAAAAACTCAGCAGGTTACGAGGCAATTCCCCTGGGGCAGGAGGGGATTGCTAACCAACACCGCTCAGCCAGCAAAACCAAGTGGTGTAGCTCTGGCCTCGGCCAGGGGAACTCATTTACAGGCAGCGCTGCTCATCTTCCTTTCCAGTTCCCCAATGTCTGGTAGGCAAGTTACTGCCCAGCTGGGCTACTCCTGTCCTCACACAAGGCTAGGAGAGGGGTTAATAGCACGTCAGCTCCCATTCTTTGCCACTCAGCCGTTTCCTAACATGTGGATGCCCGACAGGTGGCTGATGATCCTAGTCCCCTACTACAAGGCACTCCAGAGCCAAGCCACCAGCAGCCTCTTCCCCCTGCCTTGCAATTTCACCCCCTCCATTATCTCAACTTGAGCTGGGCGACATTCAAGAGAGTCAATGCGCAGCTCCTTTCCAAGTCTCCTGGAAGGAAGCTGAGTGCTTTTCATACAACTTCCTCCAGCTGGGAAAGGACAATGCAGTTTGCATTATTGCCTCCTCCAGCATTTATGTACTGGACCTGCCTGTCCTAATCTCTCCCCTGCTGTACCTCAGCCCAGTAGCACGTGCAGGAGGTTGGGACTATTTATTCAAGCGGACCGTTCAAACTGACTAAGGACTACGTTAAGATCACGACAGAAGCCTTAGCCTCCAAGTACAAAGCATCTTTGCCATCATCCTTTTGCCTGGGGTATAGAAATCCTATTAATCCTTCTGCCAAGCTGACACTGCGCAGTCCTCTGCGGGCGCCTTCAAGCTCGCGCAGGCTGTCTTACAGGAGGCAGGTACGTGGCCAGTTAGATCTGGTGCACTACAATGTCTGGCATGCCTTAGGCATGGGGAAGGGGGCACTTCCACTCTTCTGTTGGCCCTAAATTCTTCTAGCCCCTCACCTAAGCAGCATCAGATGGGCCAGGCAGCAGACAGAGAACTTAAACATTTCTAAAAATACCGGGTACCTGGGCTACGGAGGAACCGGGGGCAGCGCGCCGCTCTCGTGCTAACCTCTGCGGGACGATGATTTCGTAGGACGACAGAAGAGACCGATCCTGGAAACCTAGGAACACAAAGGAGAAAAGCTGCCCGATGAGTGGCATGAGGGACACAAGGCACTCCGAGGAACCAGGCCCACCCGCTCCCTTGGGGACCTCATGCGTCTCTACGCAGCGTGACGCAGCTCTCCCCAAGACGGCTCGGACACCAGCAGCAACACAGCCCTATCGGCCCAGCGTTCGCCACGTTGCTGCCTGGTGCTGTGCTATCCGTGCCTCGGCTCTCCACCCAAGATGACACAGCACTATGAATCCCATCTCGCAGGGGCGCTTCAAGCGCTCTCATACCACCGAGCCTGGGCCTCTCTTAGCATCTATGACTCCAAGAGGCACCTTTTAACACCACCACACATGCAGGTCTCAACAACCCAGAGCATGTTTCAGCACTGGGAGTAACAGGGGATGCTGTACCAGGGCCAATATGAAGAAGGAGCCAGAGCAAGGAGCTTAAAGCCTTCAAGTAAAGAAAATGCACATGATCCCCAAAGGAACCGCTAGCAGGAAAGGTATAGCACACAGCCCTCTTGCAATGTTCAGGGTTTGTAGAGGCATCTCAGTGCCATCATCTGGGTGCTACCCAACTCAAAAAAACAGTCTCGGCAGCCCGCTCGTTTGCAGCGAAACTCCAGTACACCCATTATGAAGGCAGACCATTTAGGTTATTCATTCAACGAGCCAAGCAGCAGATTAGGAGAGGTTTTATTATGAGCCAACACCCTCCACGCCCGAGTTCAGACAGCAGTCACGCCCCTTGGAAAGCAGGAGACCGGTCACCCTGGGACTGCACAAAGGGTCTTAAGTGCAACAGATTTCGCTGGCGCGCAGCAGTGGAATCAGTGAGCTCACCAGGGGAGAACTGGCTAGACGCTTGGAGGGGAAGGGGGAAGTTCTAGTTCCCCGTGTAGCATACGGTCCCTGAGAACCACCGCACTGCCACCAGGCCAGCCCATCTGCCACGTGCTCGCTCCGGCCACCTGCACAAAGGGAAGTGACTGAGCAAACACACAGCATTTACTGCAAAGCAAAGAGCTCAAGCTTCTGGTGAGAACACATTCACCTGCTTGCTAAACCGTTTGCTGGGACATCACCAGGGACTCCTGCACTTTCCACCAATGGCTGGAATTTAAAGCAGGGGCTAAAGGGAGCCCGAGATGAAAGGGGATTTTGAGTTCCCAACTCCTTAGACTCTGTTGGAAAAAAAAAAAAAATTCTCAATCCAGCCATCAATGTTTGTAAAACACATGGGTGTTTAAATGGCACTAAGCGCTCTCTGCTTGGCCAGATCCCAGTCTGACGATGCTCAGGAAGCTGGCCAACAAGGGCCCTCCAAAAGCCATTTGTTTAAAAAAAAAACAAACCACCCAGAGGAAGTTACTTTTGCAGCATTGGAGTGTTTTCAGCCTGGGGCTGGTTTAACAGTGCGCCGCTGCAATTGCCTTCAGGTTACTGCTGAATGGAAGGCATCCCAGGGAGCAACTCCTGCTCCGAGGGCTGCTCTCCTGTTGAAAAAGCCCAGCAGCTTTGTGGCATTACAGCAGCTTATTCTAAGTCCAACACAGCCCTCCTGCTAAAGCAATGAGATCCCTGGTTGGGGCCCAGTCAGTCTTCGGGCTGGGGTTTCTACATGCCCCGGGGACACACATTTCCCCAAGGACAACGTTCACTTGCGGCACCACCGACATTCCCTTGCCAGGCAGGCCCCGCCACAGATATTTTCTCCCGACGTGGCTCTAAATGGATCCCAGGGCTCCCCGTACAGCCACCCACGTCCCCAAACGCAGCGTGCAGGCTGCCGAAAGCTCTTGGCACCGCAAAGACTGAAGGTGCTGGTCTCTGCCTCTAAGGGCTTGCTCTCAGGTACGCCTCTGCAGAGATCGGGGACCTGTGACAAGGCAGAGCGCTCCAGCCAGCTGTGGGGCAGGCCAGCGCATCCCTCTAGCCACTCGCAGCCGGAAGGGCCAAGCGGACAAGCCAACGTGCTATTCATTACTTGGCTCTGGCTTGTGCAATTGGAAGGAAATGCATGTGCAGCTATCTGTTCTTTAGCAGAGGCCCACCCAAAGCAGCACCAGGCTTTGCTCAGCGCGCTTACCCACACCTGCTCCAGTCACAGAGCACCCCTGTGTGCGCGCCTGCTCTCTGAGAGCCCTCTCAGACAGGAAGGCTCTTGCTTTCCCTCACCCAGCTAATCCCCAGATTACCTAGAGAGGCTTGTGGAAAGCAAGGCTATAACCCTCCTGACTAGTCCCCCCAGAGCCTGTGGACAAGAATGAGCTGGCAAGGGCCAGTGCAGCTCCCTTGGTCCCTCGCAAAAGAAAATCAGGTTGGAACCGGGCTCCCAGTTCCTTGCAAGGCCCATCCCAAGGTAGCCCATGGTCTTGCAGGAGGCTTTGAGCACATCACCACATTCATGCTTTCTTCAATGAGTTATCTCCTGCCGGAGAAGGACTGTGACGGTAACTACATGCAACAAGTGGCAAATCCAGCTTTCAAAAGCATCGCCAATCGGGCACAGGTCGGACCTGCTCTTTCCGAGATGCCACCCCTGACACCCCAATCTCTAGCACAAAGGGGGGGGGGGCGGGGGCTATCTGTGCTTTGCCACAATTAATTAGCTATTTTGGGTATCTCTGAAGACAGAACATCATGACTCATTTGTAAGCCCTGTCGGTGAGCAAGCTGCAAATGGATGTGGTTTCACAACTCAAAACTTTGACAGATGTTAAAGGAAACGGTCTGAGGCAGCATGGTACAGGTGGCAGACAAACAAGTGAAAGGACTGCATGCCGGTATGGGACAGTGAGTGACCGCTAAGGTTGACAGAAAACCATACATAAATTCATAGGGCTTAGTTTGAATGGTGAAATGCGACTGGTCCGTTCAAAGGCAATTCTTGCACTCTCAAAACCACAGCAGCCCACCCATAACAGAATATAAAAAGCCGGAGCTGCTGAAGCAAGCCGGAATCACTGGAAACGGGCTTCACGGCATTCACTTAACACCTTCCTGAAGTATTCCCCAGGATATCCTAAACGCCTGGCCAGCAGACCCTGGGAATCCAAGCACCAAAGCCCACCATCCACTTCCCCTCCCCTCAATCACTTCTAGGCATTCTTCGCACCTCAAGGGACACCAGGCCACTATCCTCGTATCTCTCCAAGCTACAGGGCTGTTACCTTTTCCTCTCCCCATACTACCCCCTGCCGGCTACCTTTAGGTGTCTGTTCGCATCGAGACCACAAAGAGCCCAGGGCACTGAAAGCAGCCTGTGTGCATATTATAACAACTACTATTTTGTTTCTTCCCTGCCCGTTGCACACCTCCTTGCACCGTTAGAGCAAAACCTGGTCATCAGCATAGAAAACAACTCTGCAGAAAGGGAGACCTCCTTTGTCTACCTGAGGCAACAGGTTGTTGTCCCTGCAGGTGGCTCTGCCACAGGTGAGAACTACACAGCTGTTTCTGTGCTCTGTTTAACAAAGCATAACCTAAGCCTGGAAACAAAAGCAATTAAGATGGTTTTCAATTCCAACCTGCCCCACGATTGCAAATATACACCCACTGCAAGAGCGGAGCAAGAGTGGAAGCTCTGAATCACCCTGGCAAAAGGCAGCCACTCAGGGTTATGGCATTTCTTGGGAAAAATAAAAGGAAGCCTTACTAAGTGCATGATTCACCAAGTCCCACATTAGTGACTTTGAATTCTTGGCTGGGCCTGTGCCAGGAGAGGGCAATAACTGGAGTTCACAATGGCCCTTGTTCTTGATCCTCTCCAGCCTTTGTGATCATCAGACACATCCTCAGCCATTTGATAGCAGGGGAAGGGCGACTTCCTGTCCTGGGATAAACTGCCATAAATCCACACTCTCGCAAGTACCCCCTCTCCATCTGTCACTGCCACCGCGCGCACGGGATCTGTCAATCATTTCAGGCACTTTGTCACCCCCCTGCCCCAAAATTCAGGACCTCTTCCTGTCCCCTGCTGCAGAGCTACCACATCCCATCCCAGAAGGGGCTGCACACCGGCCGGGGCCAAACTAATTCTCATCTCCTCCGACGTTCCAGGGATCCTGCAGGATGGAAAATGCGACAGAAACACGGAGACAGCATTAAACCGGGGCAGAATCAGAAAACTGCCTGCTTTGCTAAGGACTTGAACCGACCACACGGAAGTGGCACAGCACGTGCAAAGACAGGACATTCAGGGGACGTGTGACCTGGCTGTGGAGCCCTACCCTCAGAGGATCTGCTGGGGGTGCGGGGGCGCATGGGGAGGAAGAAGAAGATTGCACAATAAGCACTTCCCTCCCACACCGCAGCACTGGCTTGGAAGTGTAGATTCAGCACCGCTGTGCTAGCTTTGCCTCTACGCTCACCTTGGAGAGGCGAGTAAAAGTTCTGTTCAAGCCCTGGGGAACAAGACAGCTAAGAGAGGCCTTGCTAAGAGAGGCCACTCGAAAGAAAACAAAAGGTCTTTTTCAAGCAGCGCTAGAGAGAGAAAACAAGAGTGTTGTATTTTAAGTAAAATCCGAGGCTCTATTTTTGGGGGACGCCAACCTGGTTTTGCAAGGACTTTACATTTACATGGGATAGATTCCCCTTCGGTTTACACATCTCCCCTCCTCTCCACTGTGCTCCCAGTTTGATTTGACAAAGTTCACGCCAGTAAACCTTGAGAATCAGGTGGCGCACCATCTATCCGCACAATGCCAACGTTGACCTTGCAGGAATTTTTAGAAAACAAAACACTCCGACTTCCCGCGCCCCAGAACAAGAGTTGATCCCAAAACACGCATCCGTTGCATTTATATCCACTTTTAGAAAGATGCTGCCATGCTCCGATCTGACCTCTCCATGCAGAACGCCACGTTTTCAATTGCTCAACTCTACGCTGAGAAGGAAAACAGATATGGGAGCAACATAAAATGGAAGTGGAGGGGGAAAATATTCAGAAAGTGCCCCTCTTCCCAGTCCCCAACAACACACGTACTTCAGGTATTAATGCATGCTTCATTATCCTGGGCAGACTAACAGATCTGAGCACTTAAGGACCTAATCTTACAATGTGCTGACAACCTTCATCCCCACCAGCAAGCTCCCCGCAAGATGAGAGGAAGCTCAGTGAAGCTCAAACCCTGCCTTCCCTAGAGAAGAGACAGAGGCATTCTTAACCCAGGGAAACTCAGAAGACAAAACCTTAGGAAAGACAGCAGCATTTGCTATCGTCACACTATTCAGCCGATCAAGAGAGAACCACAGGGTCACACAGTCCAACGCCACTTGCTAACATGTACAAAGGGCACTGAGCACTTGTAGTCCTAGCTTGACTCATACCATGCAAGATAATGTCCAGGGACAGGCCTCTGTCCCCCTGCTTCTCTCCTTGCCCCTGGGTAAGAAGGCTGCCCAGTGCTTTGCACTCCACTCACGGCCACGGTACCTGAGCAGCTCTCACATGCCCTTCTTTCCCACATGCAACTTCAGTCACACGTGTCCCACAGCAGAACCACCCCCTCTGCATGCATCTCACCCATGCCTGCACAGCACCCATGGCAGTCAGGCAGGTGCAGTCCCCTTCCTTCCCACTCCCGCATCAGAGGGGGGCATTTGCAGGCAACTCACAGTGTATAGACTTCTGTTCCTTAGCGCAAAGAAGATCCACTGAAATGCAATGCCTTGCACAGAAACGCCACCAAACCCAGCTCCCCTTCTCAGCACACACCGTGCCAGCCGTGCCACGCCAGCAGACGTTCAGGCCGCAGAGAGCCAAGCCAACTGCTCCAGTTACAAGGAGGACAGGGATCTCTTGGGGGCAGAATCTCACACGCCTGGCAGCATCACCGGAATCAGTGCGGCATTACAAAGACCAGCGACGCCAGCCCTACTCGCCTCGAGCGCAAGACTCCCGTTCTTCAAAACCTTTGGGATCTGGCTGTCTGCTCTTATTGGCTCTGTTCTGGAGACGTACGGATCAGTGCTTTACTAGGGAGGGAAAAAACTACCAGCCATCTTTGTTAGCACCTTCTCAGCCATGCCACACGTCACCGCACAGAAGCGTCCGTTAGTACTAATCAGCTGGACTAGCTTACCTCAAGTTATTCTACTGCTGTCCCAATCAGGCTTGGAGAGTTCATAGATTTCTAGGGCCGGAAGGGACCTATCCGATCATCGAATCCGACCCCCTGCTCTGGCCAGGAAAGAGCGCTGGGGTTAAGTAACCCCTTCCAGGTGCTTGTCTCTTCTCCTTTTGAACCCCTCCAAGGTAAGGGAGAGCACCACCTCCCTTGGAAGCCCACTCCATATTTTGGCAACCCTCGCCGTAAAGAATTTTTTCCAGATGTCCGATCTAAATCTGCTCTCCTTCAGTTTATGACCGCTGTTTCTAGTAGCCCCCCTCGGCCGGGATACAGTTACAGCATCAAACAGAAGCAAGCTAGGGGTGGGTTCATGTGCTCTGAACCGACTGCCAGAGACCTCCAGCCTGAACACGATAGACTACCGGACCCTCAGACACAAATGAGTTTCCAGGCCTGAACCCAACGAACCCAAGAAACATCACGATTAGCAACTAAGAAGTTCCTCTCTTCCCATAATCAGAAGCATGTTCTAATAAAAAAGGTACCCAATCACTGTGGCAGCTAGATGCATTAAGTACACAGATGCCGGGTTCATTAAATTTAACGAATACTTCCTTACAAATAATAGCAAGATGAGCGAGTGGCACAAGTTGCTTGCCATTCTGCTTCTTCCATATCATTCAAGCAGTCAGGAGTAGCAGAGAGCTTCACAGCAAAGGACCCCTTCTCCAGGAGGGCTACAACCAAGGAACCGTACGCGGCTGCGGAGGCAAGTTCCCAGCTCTTGCGGCTGCGGAGGCACTGAAAAGAGGCGTTTCCATTTGGCTGGGCAGACATCCCACAGGCCTATTTGCGCATGTTATTTACCAACCCACACCAGTCACCACGGCCCCTCCCCACATCTAAGGCCGGTGCCAAGCTGCATGGGTGGAAGGGTGAGACGGGTGCAGCGCCCAAGCGCATGCATGCCTTTCTTTTGAAGTTGCCAGCTTCCTCCGGCCTCTTGGAGCCCTCCAGGACCTGTCCTGCTGCTTCCGAGGCACCCCTCCATCCTCGGAGCTCTTCATAAACATCAGCCAGGCACGGCGCTCCCTGTGCCAAGAGACTCCTCCCTGCCCCCCAACCCTTGCTTTCCGATCCGAAGGAATCCGGGAGTCTTCTCTGAACAACGCCCCTGCGGGACCTGTCTTTGGGCCAGGGCTCTCTGCTAGGTGATGCAGCCTGGGCCTTTCCTCCGAGGTCGTGGACCATGCTGTAACCGCTTCCTGTCTAGACCGACCATCCCTGCTCCTTTCTCCACTCTCCACGGATGCTGGAACACGCCGCAGCTACAGCCACGCTCCAGGAAGCGGGACTGTCGCTTTCATTCCCTGCCACATTCACTGGCTTTCTGTCCAGCTCCGATTCAGATCCCAACACACATCCCCCCACTTCACACATGCTCCTCTACCTCGGACTGCCCAACCGGCTACTCTTCAAGGACCTGCAATCGGTGACTCGTGCCTCCCACTCCCCGGTGGTAACTGTCCTTTCCCCTTTATGCAGCCCCCTTCCATCTCCCAGAGCCACCACACGCCCCCTTGCCCTACAACCCCGCTCCTGCCATTTCATCTCCATTGGGCTCGCAACCCCATTGCTCATGGGCTGTCACTCGAGACCGCCTGCTGCAGAGCGGTTACCAGGGCTTCCCCACACACATTCATAGATGGAGCGCAGGGCAGGGCGGCACCGTACAGACTAACTGGGTCAGAGGAACTCATGGTTAGTCCTTTTCTTTGTGCCATGTTACACCCAATTCAGCATGGCGACCAATTTTTGCGACCAAAAGAAACTAGGCAATACCAAGCGACCAAAGGAACCAGGACATACATAGAGACAGGAGACACAAATTACTAAGGTCAAGGTCTCACCACCTGCAGGGAAAGCTAGGAAATAGCACGGCCAACCATTTCTAGGTCGAAGCGCATCAAGCCTGCACGCACATGTGGCGCGGTTTTACCGATTCAGGATTCTTTTGCGAAACACAGCCCCGAAAGAAGCTAGTTTAGCTGTTTGAAATCCCTCCTTCCTCTCCGTGCTTCGTTACAAGGAAAACGGAGTCAACACGTCCTCTTTTCTGCTGAACAGCGCATC